GGGGGTCAATTGTACGCAGACCTTACCCTTGTAATTATACAAGGAGGTTGTTTCCGTAGCGACCCAAGGTGCATTGCGTCGTTTGATATATTTTTTTTCTAGAAACTTCACTAATAGAAGAAGCACTAGAATTTAATTGAGCCATTTTGATCTAGTCCATTATTAGCACTATGCCAGGAGAATTGTCAACAATGACTCTTCCAGCTCCATTTGCAATGGACAAACAAGAAGGAGATATAATCTAAAAAAAAAAAAAATGGAAGTAGTAAGTTATACACAATGTTCGGTGTGCCATTGTCATTATGTGAAGAGTAAACTTATGTGTTGGAAACAATTCATGGCCATCTTATTTAGATCTCAATCTTTTTTTTCTGTTCCCCATTACTAATATTCTGCTATGTGTTTTCAATCTACAGGTATGGTCCATCTAAAAGAAACTATTCTTCTGGTACAAAGTTCACGGGATCTCGAACCAAGAGTTCTCTTTCAGTAACCGAGGAAGCTTTGACCTCTTCCCGTTGGAGACATTTTCTGATTGTAAACTATCTTAAATTCATCTCCTTCTTGAGATGCTTTCAAAATTTTATAGTGTTCGTCCTCTTCAATTTCTCTTCAATCAGATTTATTATTGCAGCCTGGCGCTGTTCTAGCTGGATTTGGTGGGCTGTTATTTTTCATTCATCAAAATGATGAGAGGAGAGCTGTGGAAAAAGGTGTATTGTATTTTTGTATTAAAAGTATATTCATTCTAATAAGATATATAAGTGTTTTCTACATATCTTCTTGAATGTTCCTATCATTATAATCCAAAAATCTGGAAACTCTTCATGACATATTTCGTTTGGTAAAGCACCTCATCTCTTTCTAATGAACTGTCTGTTATTTGTGTTTGAAATTGTATAATAGGTAAGGGTGAAAAGTTCGAAAGAAGTGCCATTCAGGGACCAATAATTGGTGGCCCCTTTAGTCTCGTTGACACAGAAGGTCGTCTTGTAACTGAAAAGAATCTGTTGGGAAACTGGGTTCTTTTATACTTCGGTTATACGTCATCTCCCGATGTTGGACCGGCAGAAGTTCAAAAGATGGCCAGCACTATAAATATCTTAGGTTTGCTCTTGTTATATCCATCAAAATTCTATTGACTGCTTCTGTTCACTTTTTGCTTTTTCCTTTTTTTTTTGATGGGTTCTGAATACTGAATTGTTACATTCAAAATGAGTGAAGAATCGAAACAGAATATCAAGGTCTTACCCATATATGTCACGATAGACCCTCAGAGGGACAACCCTTCACACCTTCGTGCATATATTAAAGGTGAGTCGTTTCTCATTTAGATTTTCTTAAATTGTCCAGAAGTGTCGATTACTCAATAGCTTTAATTTTAAGCATTTTTAAATGAATGTAATGATCAGAAACAGAGATTACAATTTTGTTATATGCTCCAGCTTGGAGCTTTCTTACACTCATCTTGCAGATGAAATTTACTTCTGTTTCTTTTCCCTTTCCTTTTTATTTTCCCTGTTAAAGCTCTTCTTATTCTAATGCAATTTTTTCCAACTGAAGTGCAGAGTTCAACTCGAGAATAATTGGGTTAACCGGGCCAGTATCTGCTGTAAGGCAGATGGCACAAGAATACAGAGTGTACTTCAGAAAAGTCGATGAAGAAGGAGATGATTATCTCGTCGAGTCCTCCCACAACATGTATATATAAATACCTAAAAAAAAAAAACAAATCTTTTTTTATTTCCCATCTAAAATATACATATCAATTTTATATTTGCATTTTGATTCAAACAGGTACTTGATGAACCCGAACATGGAGGTGACTAGGTCCTTTGGTGTTGAATATAATGCAGAGGAATTGGCCGATGCTATAACTAAAGAGGTGACGAAAGCTAATGTTACCATCACACGGGATTAGTATGTTTTGACATATGTTTACTTGGTGTTGAGTGCCTTCATTTTAGAAACTCGGTTAAGAAATTCTTGGCCTTTCTCGCTATTTGACGACGCTAATGATTATTCCATGCGACCGAATGTGTGTTTTGTTATATTACTTCGCTTTTTTATATCTACTTGAGTGAGTACAACCTATTTTTGTTATTGGGAAAAATCAGTATACTTCTAATGTCGAATTAGGATTGACTAGGACAGAACTAAAGCATTTGGTCGAACTCTTCTTTGATGTCAAGGTAATAGCTATGAATAGTCGTCGACTTTTGGTAAACGGTTGAAGAATGATTCGATTAACACACTCATGTAGATGCGTATGAGTGATCAAATGGTGAAAAACACTGATAGGTGAGAGCGTATCATCTAAAACGATAAAAGGCACTGACCTGGTATGGCCGAATTTTTCCAATAACATATTGGAAAAGGGGATGATTTGCTATAGATTAAAATCGATTCTGACTGGACAATTTTTCTACACTTTCTAATTTTAAACTCTACTAAAATTTAATCAAATTCTACTCTACTAAATTAGTAAATATTATCAAATAAATTATATTTAATTATTTACTCTAACACATTACATCAAATTTAAAATATTATTCATTTATTCATCATATATTCTTAATTACTTGTCATTGTCAATAAAATTTTACACACTTTTACATCATATCAACTTCAGTCATTAAATTTTGAGTATTATTTAAGAATAAAGTCAAATCTCGCTCGATCAACTTTATTAAAAATTAACTCATTTGATCAATAAGTTCAATTGTTTTTTTTTTTTGTTTTTTTTTTTTTAATATCCGTCAACCCCTTAAAAGTGAAACTAAGAACTACACTGATAATGAAGTAAACATTTAAATGAAATAAAATGAAAATGTGATTGGGCAAATTAATTAAAAGATGTATGAAAATGTATGTCAAACTTCAGAAAAAAAAAAAAGACTTATTATAATATTAAGATACAGCTGTTGATAGGCTTAGACGTGATATCCTCTCTAATAAATATGCCTTTATATTGAATTTTTACGATGGCCGGTTTCCGACTTTCGTGTATCGTTTTGCAAAGAAATCAAAGATTGTGATATTCTCCACCAAGGTTCAAAAGTCGTGATGTTTTAGCAATATGGTAAAAGGTTGTGATATAACAAGCTATTTTGCCTTTTTTTATTTGACCTTTACATAAACAAGTACCCTTCAAATCAAGAAACATTCCCATGCATCATCAAAACTATTGCAAATTTGCCATAAAATCACATTTTACCACATAAATCCTCTCATTTTCCCCTGTTTTTTTTTTTTTTTTTCCTTCTCTTACAACAAGATTTCAACCTTGAAAAATCTCTTGGCCCTAATCATATGGCTGTAGAAAACACGAAAAAATCGACCTGCGGCCTCTTTAACGCCGTTTTCCGGCGCCGGAGCATATGGCCTAGACGCTCCACCTCCACCGGATCCCTCCCCGCCTCGAACCCCAGCCATGTCACCCGTTACAAGAGCACACTGGAAAAAACCCGTAAACAAGACTTCAACGGACCCACATTCGACCCGCCCGCCCAAAAGCAAAAACCATTAACCCGATCCGGCCCGGCCCAATCGAAATCCCCACCTACCAAGAGCAAGCCTGGAATCTCCGGCGAGCTTGAGAGCATCATTTCCGACTATCAAAAGTCGAGAGGGCCCGGAAATCTCGTCGAGCAACGTCATGCTGCACGGAAACCTTGGGAATCTAAAGCAGCCCGGAAATAGTAATAATAATAACGGGCCTCGTTCGGTTAACCGGAAGTACTCAACTAGTGTTATGGGGAATGTTGTGGTTAGAAAAAACGAGGAGCCCGCCGAAAAGCCCGTTTCTTATGCAGGTCCCTATCGACCCGTATGGATCCCGAGCAGCTGAAGATTATGGGAAATGAAGACTATAGAAACGGCCGGTTTACCGAGGCACTTGCTCTGTATGACGCGGCAATCTAGGTCGACCAGAATAAGGCCTCTTATAGAAGTAACAAAAGCGCGGCGTTGGTGGCTCTCTAGAAGCTTCTAGAAGCCGCGTTCGAATGCCGAGAAGCTATACAGATCAACCCGTTTTACCAACGGGCTCATAATCGGTTAGCAACGATCTATGTTAGGTAAGGACATCATAAAAAGGTTCCAACTATTTCCAAAAAGTTGCATTTTTCGTAATTTTTTTTTTTTTTTGGTTCGTTCGAATAGATTAGGAGAAGCCGAGGGGGCCATGCACCATTTCAAGCAATCGGGATCAGAAGCTGATCCCGATTACATGAGAAAGGCCAAGCAGATTCAATCACATTTGAACAAGTGTACTGAGGCAAAAAGGCAGCACGATTGGCACAATTTGTACAAAAAAACCGAGCTTTGTATAGCTGCCGGTGCTCATTCGGCACCGTTGGTATGTATCGCGCGTAATTCTCATTACATTTATCGAGTTATATTGTTTTGTATGTGTATGTGTTTCTTAAGTTCATTTTGGTTTTTGTGGTTCGATGAAGATATTCGGCTTGAGAGCCGAGGCATTGTTGAGGCTTAACCGGCAAGAAGAAGCGATCGAGTCTATGGAAAAGGGCTCAAAATTCGAAATCGATGACTGCATTAGGTTTTTCGGGCCGATCGGAAGCTCGAGTGTGCTGTTATTTCGAGCTCAGGTCGACTTGGCTGCAGGGCAGTTAGAACATAGAACCTTTATATATATACGTAATACGTTTAAAAATCTCGATTACCACTTCTTGAAATTGATTTTCCACCATCAACATATTTAATATAAATTAAATAAGCAAAAGAAATTCAATTTGAGCATTTTTTAACCATTATTTAAGAGTTTTTACGTTTTTTACCTTTCCGATGTACAATAGCAAAATAAATTATGTTTGAGCATTTTTAATCAATATTTACTTATTTATTCATTTTTCGAAGAAACAAATAGGTTAGACGAGGCTGTGGGGTTTGCTCAACGGGCTTCAAGGCTCGACCCGAACAACAAGGAGGTGCATGCGGTGGTTCGGAGGATGAAGGCGGCGGCGGCCGCCAGGACATGTGGCAACGAGCTGTTTAAGGCGGCGAGGTATTCGGAGGCCATCATTGCATACGGCGAAGGGCTCGGTTTGGACCCGTATAACGCGGTTTTATTGTCCAACCGAGCCGCATGACGGTCGAAACTCGGCCAGTATGAAAAGGCTGCCGAGGACTGTAGTGCAGCCCTTAAAGCCCGTTCGGGCTACAGAAAAGCCCGGTTGAGACGGGCCGATTGTTACGCAAAGGTGATTGATTGTGATTGTATTGAAGTTCATTGAAATTGTAAATACTTCTACTTGATTATGGTGTGATTATGATTATGATTAGGATAATAGTCTGTTGTTTTAGTATTGATTGATTTGTTTAAATTTGGCAGATGGGGCAATGGGAAGAGTGTGTAAAGGATTGTGAAGTGTTGATGAAGGAAAATCCATGATGAAGAGATTGGTAATATTCTGAAGGAGGCCAAAAAAGAGTTGGGCCAAAGAAATTCCTGGAGATAATTATAATGTACTAGAAAAATCAATCAAAAACTATATTGTTTCATGATCAAAGTCCAAATTTACTGCTCCATTTGTTTTTAATTGATTAGGAATTTATAGCATTTGATTAATGTGTGGATATACATATAAAATAGATATTTCAAACTTAATATAACGAGTTGATATTCACTTGACGATTCATTAACTAAACGAGTTCGAGATTAGCTCGTCGTTTGAGCTGAACTCAAGCAGAGTCAAGCTTACAAAGGACTCTTTTTGTTTAACAGTTTTGATTAAATGTTATGAACACGAGTTTGAGTTTAATTTATTAGGAATCTATATATATATAAAAAGACGACCTATTTACCAAAATAGTAACAAGAAAAATTAACCAACATTTGTTACATTTTATTTTTGGCAATTTTTTTAATTATTCATAAAAATCAACCAGCTATATATGCACCATAAATTCATGGATTTTGTGGATTTAATTTAAATATATTTCGACTGGTGCTTACAATTTTGCAAAAGTCAAAATTATTTCTCAATTTTTATTTAAAAAAATTGATTACCACAAAATCGAGAATTTCGAATTAAGCAAAATACTATCACATATATCTTTTACTAATTGCAATAAATTAATTGTTTATTTAAAAAATCTGAGTGCATAGAAATCGAGTTAAATTATATAAAATTCGGTATGACAATTTTGTAAAATTAATTTTCTCTCATTTTTTATTTAAAAAAAAAAAAGAAATTGTTTACCATAAAATCAAACATTTCGAATTAAACAAAATACTATAACATGTATGTTTACCTAATTACAACATATCATGTTTATTAAAAAAAAAAATTGAATTACATAAATATTGGCCCAATTTCAAATTAAAAATTAAAATATAAAAATCCCTTACTACTTGGAATTTCTATTTTCATGCCATTAACTTTATTCTAATATTTGCATGTTAGTACAACGCGACTGAACTACACGGGTGTTCGAGGAAAAAAATTATTGTAGAACAAAAAATGAAAATAAAAAAAAAAAATCTTATAATGAAATAAAAATTATAGATATTTATAATAGAGTAAAAGAACTGTAATATTATTTTAAATTCTATAAAATAATTTGTATGAAATATTATTTATTTTATTTAAGATATATTCATTTTTTCAAAATTAAATAGAATAATTAATTTATCTTGCAATTAATATAACGCACGTGAACAACAGTGGTGCATTAACATAAAAATAAAATATTTTTATCAAATGAAGTAAGTAAAGAAATTTATATTCTTATAATATAATGATACAAAATTTAGTATAAAACTAATAATTAAGAACTTAAACAAATTTAATTATTTAAAATAATACATATATTTTACAATAAATTTATTAAAATAATATTTTTAATATTACACACACACACACACACACACACCACATATATATATATATATATATATATATATATATATATATATATATATATATTATCCACAACTCAATGATTTTGTTTTCGAATTAATTTAAATTGTTTCCAAGTTTGATCAATATTTTACATACACAATTTTCTTCCCTATCGGTAATATATCTGCATATATTATATTTTTGAATATCCTTAATTTGAAATATAATTGGTATGGATGTAATGTATTCAAAATTTATAAAATATAATAATTAGTTTTATTCTTTTTATTAACATTAACACTTTTAAAATTTCAATATCATCATAATGTTCAATCTCTTTGTAGTCTTTATTAAGTTGAGGCATATTCTTTATATCTATTTTATGTTCAGTTAAAATAAATATTTTATGATGTGTTGATTTATATTGTTTCATAAGATAATTTGTACTATATTTAGTTTGATAAATCAATTTAAATTTAATTCTTGAGAATATATATCACTATATTGCATTTTTATGTATGTAATATGGATGTCAAAATTAAAGATCCTTAAAAGATAATTAATTACAAACAAAAAAGTTAAAATATATTAAAATAAGAAGAAAACATATTTATAATAATTGGTGTATGAATTAAATGAAAAATCAAATGTAATATATATGGTAATGTAATTATAGAAAACGCAAAATAGCTTATGGTAACTAATTGTACAAGAAAAGAAGAAATAGATCAATCACATATTTAATGTGAATAATATAAATATTTAATGCAACAAGCCTAATTATTACTAGTATTCGATCATGTATACATGCACACAAATAAATGAACAAAGTATTATGAATACATGCATATAATATTAAGTTATACGTAAGTACATCCACAGTACTTTGAGTTCAATACAAACAAATTATATGTCACCTAAGAAATAGACTAAGTTTAAGAAAATATATTCTCTAATGCAAATAAAAGTAGTCTGGGTCCTACTGATGTGCCAGCCAGAAAAAAAGACCAGTCTACCCTTAAGTTTATTTTAGACTCAAGTAGAGAACTAGTCTCTTTGCATTCAAATGAATTTTGTTAATGTAACATAGTGTTATCAATGTCATCCAAGACTTGAGTTTATTTACATGCCACCTAAGCAAGACTAGACCTAATGCATTGGAGATGCTCTAAGGTCTCACATAGTCGTAATGCCATGCGTGGCGTGGGCCAGACCCGTGAGAAATAATGTTTTATCTTGACAAACCCATTTAGATATGGGTTTTTCCTGCCAACGATGTCTAAGTATACTTTCACGCCCAGGCCCATGAGGCCTTCGAGATTGGGAATAGAAATCGGGCATCCACAAGCATCGTCAAGCATATTTGGGCTTATGATGTTGTGGGCTGTATTCAACACGTTTCCACGTATATGACGTACATACATACACTGACTCCGGTTCATCAGTTAGCAAGTTACACGACATAAACTAATAATGTAAGTGTTAAACCTCGAGTCCATCGATAATAAATCAATATCTATAGAGCCCGACTATTTTATTTTATTTTTTATTTTTTTTGGCAAGTTACAATTTTGGCTCTTGACGTATAAGTTATATAACTGAAATGGAATACCTTCCTTCTGGCCCAAAACCTTCTAACACCGAGCGTAAGAAGCTAACCACATACATCTAAGAAGCCCATAAGAAAGAAATACTACACACTCTCGTAACAAAAGACTAAACAACTATAGAAAGGAGAATAACAATAAAACAAACAACAAAATCTAAAAAAAAAGGGCAATTTACATGTATACTTAATTCATTTATAAATAATTGTAAAAATACTAGATGATAAACTTTATTTGCACATTTACCTAACCTACTAGCATAAATATTTAGATAAATACTACATACAAAAAATATTCTCTCTCCTCTCTCATTTATCTACTCCTAACAATTCTCATTTATTATCCTAACAATTCTCATTCATTACTCTCTTTCTTGTTCCACATACTATATTTTGTATTTATCCGTTTTTTTTTTCCTTCTCTCCTCCATAATATTCTCCTTCCCTCCTCTCGCTTCTCTTTATCCATTCAATTTAAATTTAATTATCACTTATGTAAATTCGTAAATTATTTTTTACCGTAAATTTATATTTAATTTATTTTTCAGTTTATTATAGGTTTATAAATCAGTTCAAGAACACATAGTAGTTTATTATAGGTTTATAAACCAATATAAGAATATAAAAATTATGAAAACATCAAGTATTCAGAATATCTAGTTTATTTTTCATATCATTATAGGTTTATAAACTAATACAAGAATACATAGATTATGAATAAATATTTATCTAGTGTTTATTAATATTTATGTCTGGTATATGATCAGTTTATGTGTTGTATATTTTAAGTATATGTTTCGTATGCATAATCTGCAATTTTTTAGTGTTGAAAAACGAATTGAATTGTTTGCTATTTTTCTAGTGGGGTGTGATTCTTAATGTAATGTATATTTTAAGTGTTTGATATGTGATATTGTTACAATAAGTTAAGTATGTTTATTTATATTGTCTATAAACGCAATATATACATATTTATGAAAAATATACTATCTATAAACGTACACTCTCAATATACAATAAAAACACAATCATAATATACAGAATATACACGATCACAGAAATCAGTTAATGAATATACAGAATATTTCCATAATATACTTAATATATACCAAGTAAAATCTTTACATTTGTTTAAATATGTGTCGAATATACACAAAAAAAAAATAAACATATCAGTTAATGAACATACACAGTTGTTCCAATCAAGAAATATATACATATCATAAACTATTAGCATACCCAATACAGAGACATTGGTTAATGAACATACACAGTTGCTCCAAAAAATCCACAGCAGAAAAAACATGTCACATATACATTATATATACTGAACATATACAACCTAATGTTATTGATAAAATAACAGTTTCGAAGCTATTTAATACAAAATGAATTATATACATACAATATACTCAACATATACAAATTAAAATTTTTATACTTGTTGTTTAAAATTCGTCTTCAAAATTGGAATCCGGCGGAGATCTATTTTTTACGGTTGGAGAAAATCATGGGCAACGTGCTTTGATTTTTTGCTTCTTTCACCGTTGAAAGCTTGTTGGAGGAAATCTTGGGCAAACTGATTCAATCGACTTGTTGGAGAAAATCCTAGGCAACCTGCTTTGATTTCTCGCTTCTTTCATGGTTGAAGACTTCCCACCAGGCTTCGGCTTCAGCTACCTCGTCATAATCGCTACCCATGGAATCGTCGTTGTCATCGTTTATCTTCAAATGTTCGAACTCCTGCGACCATGAACTGAAATTTAGGGCTTTTGTTTTCTTCTTTTCACGTATTCTGCTGTGTATATATATGGTGATTGAGGAATTCGAATGGGCCTCTCTCTTTATCCAAACAATTTTTAAAGGGGGGAGCAGTTGGAGGAGGAGAATTGTGGCGGATTGTAGAAGAGAAAGATGATGTGTGAGAAAGAGAAAACTAGAGATGGGAAAAGAGAGAAAGCATCATGAGAATGGAGATGGGAAAAGAGAGAAAAAGCATCGAGATGGGAAAAGGGAGAGAAATATGGAGGTGGTTTCTTAATTTCAACAAGGGAGAGAAATATGGAGGTGGATTCTTAATTTCAATAACTATTCTTAATAAGTGAGTATTAATTGGGGATAATGTATTTTTATTTCCTAATCTAATAATCTCGTATCTTTGCTAAAGTTTTTAATCTAATGGTAAAGGTGCAATAAAATAGGTGAGGTGTCGTGGGTGAGGTAATTTCCTCAAAAAAAAAAAAACAACAAAAACTGCTAAGACCACCTCCAACCGAACACCAAAACCCATTTTTTGCAGCAAATTCGCCCCAACCGAACTCCATACGCATCTGCAATTTGCGTTTTCCCGTTTCTCTCTCCTCTTTGAACGCATATTTGCGTCTAGACTCAATTTTTGCGTTTCAACTTTTTTTTTTTTCATTTCAGTCCCTCCTTTTATTTGTTATGTTTTGCCTTTTGTCATTTTAGCCCCATTTTTATTAAAATAATGTTTTGTGTGTAATTATATATATATATATATATATATTAATTTTATATCTTTTTCATATAATATTTAAAATAATGGATATTAATTTTATATTTTTTCACAATATGTAAATTACTAAAAAATCTCAATTTCTTTTAAATTAGATAGTATAATATTAAAATAATAAATATTATAATTATCATTCAATTGTATATATTTCACAATAATAATGTAAAATATACATATTATTTATGGTATTTTTGTTTGACAATAAAATAAAACACTAACATTAAATAACAACATTAGTAATACAAATTGAAATAAAAATAATAGTGTGGTTTAATTTGTAAAGTTGTAAAATATGTGGGTAGTATTGAAAAATTATAAAAGTTGATGTAAAAGAGAATATTTCCAGCATATTCTTTTGAGTTTGAAAATGAGTTTTTCGGTTGGAGATGAATTACTGCAAAATGAGACAATTACTGCAAAATGGGTTTGAGTATGGGTTTTTCGGTTGGAGATGACCTAAAATACATAAAACCTCCTCCTCTTGGGCCTCTTAACGCAACCTAATCAACACAGCCGTCACAACAAGCCCAAAGACCTGACAGCAGCCCGTTAACGGAATCACTGAACTTAAGAGCACACACCAACAAACTTAGGAGCCTTCAAAACTAAACCAAAGCTCCAAATGCAAATCAAACACACTCGTCACTCAAACATGAGAACTCAAGTTCTAAAATCGAAAGGTTAAATAGATTAGAAGAAGAGTCAAAACTTAAGCCCAAATCTGCCAACAATAGAAGATCCAAGAAAATGACAAGAACAACATCCGAACCGACTGATGTTGAAGAATCAGCGAATGAGTTGTGGTTAGGGGCGAAATGCCACTCGAACCCAGAGCTAACTGGTTCTCTCCGAAATGCGTTGAGGCGCAGCAGTTGACTGGACATCTAGAGGGTAAAGCACTATTTCGGTGTGGGCCACTTATCAAACGAGCTATTGCTTTTTGAGAGCTCATTTGCTTACTTTGCGTTGTAATAGCTAAATTTGTTAATTTGGTCCACCGTTTAAGAGTTATAATTGTACAATATTAGCTCTATGTGAATTTTCTCACAACTCATATAGTGTAACTAGCCCCATTTGTGTAGTAGTAGCTCCAACTAAATTAGTCCACCACTTATATACAGTGTTTTGTGACCCAGACCGGCCCGGCGGGTAGATCCGGGATCCGGTCGACCTGGGCCGGAGTCGGTCCGGGTGGGCTATTTGGACCGGCCAACAACGGACCCGGTCATAACCCGTCAGACTCGGCCTTCACTTGGTCGACCCGGGGCATTGATCCGGCTGGGTCAACCCGGTTGACCCAGTCCTTATATTTTTTTTTTTTTTTTGTTTTTTAATTTTATTTTTCCTTTTAAAAAATAAAACTATGTATATATAATTATATATTTATATGGTAAATATATACATATTATTACCACTTTAATTTACAAATTTTACATACAAAATATTTAATTTTGTTATTTTTATGTATATTTATATATCACAAAATACTCTATATATAATTTTATAAAATTTAAAATTTATTATCCGATTCAACAATTGACCCAATGACCCGACAGTTGAACCGGTGACTCGAAGACTTGCCCAGGTCAATTACCGGGCCGAGTTTAAAAACTATGCTTATATAGTGTAACTAGCTCCACAGGCTGTCAAACCACATGAGGCTAAAATGAATAGACAAATTATAAATGACCATTTAATACAATAATAATGTGAATCATGTATAGTAGCTCAAGTCGCATTTATTGTACACCAAACCAAACATGATACTGCCTTTCCTCTAGAAAGGGCATTTTGGTCCTTCAATTTATTTTATTCCCTGGATTTACCGTGCAGTTAAATTTAAAGTTTTGACCGAGGCCACAAAATACACACAAGTGGGAGAAGAAGGTAAAAAGAGGCGCACAAAAAAAAA